CACACACTCTCACACAGACACAGACACAAACACACACCCACACACAGACACAGACACACTCACACACACACCCACACCCACACTCTCACATACACTCACACAGACACAGACACACAAACACACACCCACACACAGACACAGACACTCACACACTCACACACACACCCACACACACACACTCTCACATACACTCACACAGACACAGACACACAAACACACAAACACACACCCACACACAGACACAGACACTCACACACTCACACAGAAAAAACAACAACATTTGGGAAATGTTTTATTTACGTCAACGTTAAGACAAAAATGAATTTCCAGGTAAGATTCAGGTCCATTTTAAATAAAAGCTCCAGTTTACAAATGCAGAGATCATATTTCTTCAACAACATCGATTACTGACGGCAATATCTGGAAATCGAAAAAAAGCGCGAGCGTGTGCAGAACGGAGGCTGGCGATTATCAAACACATCGATGGAGTTCTGCTGAAGCGTGATGTTGTTGACGGAGGACAGCGCTTTCATTCGACTGAACATAAATTACACTCTTCAGGCCACAGCTCTCAGTACAAAAGCGTGATTACACAGGAATGCTGGGAGAACAGGCTCTTCTCAACAACAAAGAGCTGATTGACACGCGGCTCAACTAATTCATCTATTCAGACCTTCAGCCTCGTTTGCCAGCGCTAAACTAGGCCACGATTAAGCAGCTTGAATTACTTCCCACTGTCCGGTGTGAATCTTAAAAAGAGCTGGATCAAGTCTTAAACATCATTTTAATGCAGAAGTCTCCATCGAGCACTGTCGTGCTTCTCAGTTGTTCTCCTGTGAAACGGTGGATTCCTGTAAGAAAGCGACACAAAAGTGATCAAATGAAAGCACAAGCTCCCAATTAATAGATAAAGACACGCTTAAAAGCAGGCCTCATTGGTGCGCTCCTATCTTATCTTATCAAAGCACAGGGCTGATGTTGAAACTCTTCTGTTTGGTCAAGGTGAGCTTACGCAAGCTGTGAACGAGAGATAAGAGCAGTGTGTTTGGCAGACCTGGAGCGCATGTGGAAGACATTATAAGCTGCACACATCTGCAGCAGCCAGCTGAGCGGATTCTGACACACTGATTACAGCCTTTACAGCTCATCTGCTGATCAACACACATTAACTCTAAATAACCCAAGAAGGATTCATTCACCGGATTCATCTTATCACTGTTCATTTATTATCATCCAGATAATACACTCGAAAAATGCTGGGTTGCTTCAACACAACTTTGGGTCAGATATGAACTAACCCAACTTTTGGGTTAAAAATGTAATTTAAAAGTGTAACCCCACAGCTGGGTTAGTCCATATCTGACCCAAAGTTGTGTTGAAGCAACCCAGCATTTTTTAGAGTGTATTATAGTTTCTGTCAATATTCTAAATTAGATGTTCGTTTCATATTTTCTGCTCTCTGACTAAGTATTAGTCGTTGAGGTGTTGTTTTTAAATATGTCTGTATAGTTTATATTCAGTTTTAGTACATTAAGTTAACTAAAGGAAAATGAGAAATGTCTTGTTAACTAGGTTAGAAGTTAGGTTCATATAATTTAGTTAATATAAAATACGTTTAAGTGTCTTATATTTTATTTTTATTTTAGTTAACATTTATTTTCACGTCAAGTAACACATTTTTTAATGGTTTAATGCACTCAAGTGCCGAGTGTTTCCTTCTAAAGTTACGAATTTAATGTACGTGGAAGATTTGAATATGATGTAAAACATCTGTAAATCAACATCTGTTTTTATTCCATGTTTCAGGATAACAAAATCATCACTTCCCACCAAACTGCATAAGTTGTGCAAGATTTTATGCGCATCTTGGTGTTTCCATCCAGCATTTCTCTATGCAATATCCCATAATCTGCATAACAAACACACAGATGCAAACGAGAGACTCATGCAGACTTACATACGGCGTCCTCTCGCCGAACTTGCTCCAGAAGGTCATCTTGACGCTGTTGTGGTGTCCGGTGCGCTGGTCAAACGTCCGGCACGTCTGGAAGGGCGGGCTGTAGAGGTGCAGAGAGACGGCTGTCTCCGTGTGGCTCACGTTCTCCACCCGATGAAGCCCGAGGGAGTCTGAAACACACCGAGCGAATCCTTTAAACTCTGTTCTGCTCACCACAGCCTGATATACACCGCACCTCACACCCGAGTCAAGCTGCTCCTCTCACCGTTGATGTAAGCGCACTGGTTCTCCAGCAGCACCTGCTGTGATCTCTGCAGCATGCCCCCCTGCAGCGTGCGGTCGGGCCAGTCGAAGAGCGTCTCCTTCAGCTGACCCTGGAGCAGCTTCAGGAAGCAGTGCGAGTCTGTGTGATCGTGGATGCTGCTGCAATCAAGCCCAACACAGGCCAACTCACAAACACACTCACAATATCAAACAGTTCTTACTTTCTATAGCACTGTCACGGCAACGTATGCCACCCTGCAGCACAAAAGCAGTGTTAAGTCGCTGGGGTATATTTGTAGCAATAGCCAACAATACATTGTATGGGTCAAAATTATACATTTCTCTTTTATGCCAAAAATCATTAGGATATTAAGTAAAGATCATGTTCCATGAAGATATTTTGTAAATTTCCTACCGTAAATATATCAAAACTTAATGTTTGATTAGTAATATGCATTGCTAAGAACTTCATTTGGACAACTTTAAAGATGATATTCTCAATATTTAGATTTTTTTGCACCCTCAGATTCCAGATTTTCAAATATTGTCCTATCCTAACAAACCATACATCAATGAAGAGATTATTTATTCAGCTTTCAGCTGATGTATTAATCTCAATTTTAAAAAATGGACCCTGGTTTTGTGCTCCATATGCTTTTCCCATCACTGTAACTCATCACAATCATTTAAACAAGTTCAGCTTCATTAGTTTAGGTTATTATGAGTCAAAGACAAAACAAGTGTCCACGTCAAATTAATTTTACAAAAGAGATTTTATATACACTGAAATCATATTAATTTCAAGTCAAGTGTTTCAAATAACGTCTGTGAAAATAAAATATCAAAATATGGCTGAAATAGGCTAATGTTCATCATCATTCAGCATGACAGATATATTTATGGAAAAATATATATAATATATTTTTACGGCATTATTTCTACATGCTCAAAATAAAATCATTCATTCATTCGTTTTTTGCTCAGAAAAAATTAAACAGGACACATTTTAATACACAGGAAAAAAAAACGTAAAGCTGTATTAAACTTTAATTGTTTTGAAACTTAGATGAAATGATTAAAATGTAAGGCAGCAAATGAACTGCAGATTTTAAGTTGAATTAGGTGGAAATGAACAAACATTAACAACAGATCAGGCATCCTGACGTGCTATTTTATTCCTTTTTTGTTCATATTCCGCAGTGAATAACTGCTTATGCATTATGCTTCTATTTTATCTGTAATTGAATCTGCTCCACTGTGCATTTATTAAAGGCTTTATGACTTCACTAATCACCAGACATTGGACTCTACTATCAGGCCATTATCTGTCTGTTAATATCTCCAATTCATTGACGTGAGTTCAATTATTGATCCACACATGATCCCAGGCTCCTGCAGGTCGAAAGGTAAACACAGAGCGAACACAACACAAGTGATTTAACATCAGTGTGAACGAGCGGCTACCTGCCGTGTCCTTCACCCCAGCACAAGATCATCAGGTTGAACTTTCCATTTCCCTCATTCACAAGATTCCTGGTGTATCTGTAAAGACACAGTAAAAGGACTTTAATCAGTCAACACTCATCCTTCCTGTGTGCTGGTAATTATTCATTATGCCAGCTACTGTCTGTTGTTGGTAAATGCAACACGTCCTGCTGACGTCACGTCACTCATTAATATTCATATTCGTTTCAGTGAACTGAGAGAAAGTCCTGCATCCTGGAAGCTTGCTCTGGGAATGTGATGCAGCACTGAGAGCAGCGGGTGTGCGCCAGGAGCCGCGCTCTGATTGGCCCGCGTCGACCCCGCCCCCTCAGCAGAGGCCACGCCCACGGGCAAACAGCAGCGGAGGAAGAGCTCCAGCATCGCATCCAGTGAAAACAAGACAAAACTGGACTTTTGGTTGAAATGGAGGAGAAACAGTAACGCTCTGTTCTCTGATATAAAGAAGAAGTAAAAGTCGACTCATTAAAGCACAGTTCACCTTAAGTTTGTGTTAGACTGAAACGTTTGCAACATAAAATTTACATTTTTCTTATGTTAATTTCATTTGCATTTCTCAGTTAGGTTAAAAAATAAATAAATAAGTAAAAATAAACAAAACAACCCTTGTGGTTATAAGACTTAAATGCATTAACTATGGCAAAATAACTGTCAACACATAATCATTCTGAGATTGATAATAATAATAATAATAACAATAAAATTACCTGTACTGGTCAAATTTAGCATATTTCATCCACTCGTGAGGTTTACTTTCATAGGACTCCATGATGCTCTGCACCTCCTCCACATTGACGCTGTCGCTTTCAAAGAGCTTGTGGAGAGTTTTGATCAAATCCTCCAGAGTGTCTGGCTTCATGACCTCGGTCTGCTCCATCTCCAGTGCTGCTGCGCTGCTGGAGTTCAGGCTTTTATGCATTCAGCTGAACTGTAATGGACGAGACCACTGCCGCAGAGACGCAAAACTGCTAAACTTTACTGTAAACGTGCACTGGAAGCTATGAAGAAGACATTCATAAACCACTCATGCTTTAACAAACTAATATATGAGAGACAATAAATATAATTATTTTTTGCTTGTTTATTTATTGATCTTTATCAACGGACCTCCCCCGTTAGAGTTTGGATTGACCCGCTTTATTAAACGGCTTAACTTTCCTCAAACCACATTATTAACTTCATATTTTCACGTGCCACTCTTAGAAATTAATCAGATTCTTTTTAGAGATGTTCTAATATGACTTAATTAATTAATTAATTCTTAACATGAAAAGAAACCTAGCCGGTGAACAAATGCCCACCGACTTTATTTACTTACTTACATAATAAGATTTGTTTTAGAACTACAGAATGTTATTGTGCGTTTTAAAGTGTTTTCCTATGATTTGTGCTGGAGCGCCATCATGTGGATCATAGTGAAATAAACCCGCTTCATTTGAAGGATAAAAACATTGACTACGTTTACATGCACACTCACAATGCGTTACGCGCTCCGAAGTCGAAGTTTTGATCTGAATCAAATGATTCGCGTTACGCGCTACGAAGTCGAAGTTTTGATCCGAATCAAATGATTCGCGTTACGCACTCCGAAGTCGAAGTTTTGATCTGAATCAAATGATTCGCGTTACGTGCTCCGAAGTCAAAGTTTTGATCTGAATCAAATGATTCGCGTTACGCGCTCCGAAGTCGAAGTTTTGATCTGAATCAAATGATTTGTGTTACGCGCTCCGAAGTCGAATTTCTGATCTGAATCAAATGATTCGCGTTACGCGCTCCGAAGTTGAAGTTTTGATCTGAATCAAATGATTCGCGTTACGCGCTCCGAAGTCGAAGTCCCGATCTGAATCAAATGATTCGCGATACGAAGTCGAAGTTTTGATCTGAATCAAATGATTTGCATTACGCACTCTGAAGTCAAAGTTTTGATCTTATTCAAATGATTCGCGTCACTCGCTCCGAAGTCGAAGTTTTGATCTGAATCAAATGATTCGCGTTACATGCTCCGAATTCGAATTTCTGATCTGAATCAAATGATTTGCATTACGCGCTGCGAAGTCGAAGTTTTGATCTGAATCAAATGATTCGCGTTACATGCTCCGAATTCGAATTTCTGATCTGAATCAAATGATTTGCATTACGCGCTGCGAAGTCGAAGTTTTGATCTGAATCAAATGATTCGCGTTACACGCTCGGAAGTCGAAGTTTTGATCTGAATCAAATGATTCGCGTTACACGCTCCGAAGTCGAATTTTTGATCTGAATCAAGTCCCGATCTGAATCAAATGATTCGCGTTACACGCTCCGAAGTCGAAGTTTTGATCTGAATCAAATGATTCGTGTTACACGCTCCGA